TGTTACTAGTATTAGTCTTGTATTAGGTTTGCTATTCGCTACTATATATATTCCTGTACAGACTTATTATTTGATTCATTCAGAAATATTATATCCTCATCTGGTATCAGCAGGTTCTTTTTCTCTCTCTATGGCGCACCTCGGTTCTGATGGCGGTTCTGTTGGAAGTTCTGAACGGACTGTTTCTGAGGCTGCGCTTGTGGCACCCCTGCAGTCCGGGGTGTCGTTTTCTTCGGCTCATCACTTCGTTTCCATCAAATTGACATCCCGTAATTTTTTGTTTTGGCGCACTCAGCTTCTTCCGTTCCTGGATGGCCAAGGATTATTGGGTTTTGTCGATGGAACGTCTGTGTGTCCCCCGTTTACTGCGATTACGGTACCTTCTGCCGAGGAGGCTGCTGCTGCCGTGTCTTCGTCGGCCGTATCGTCCGCCGCTCGGAGTGCATGGCTTCGTCAAGATAAGGCCGTGTTCTCCTTGTTGATCTCGTCCTTGTCCGACGAGATGATGCATCTTGCCATCGGTAAAACCTCCTCTCGGCATTTGTGGGTGGCGATCGAACAGGTTCTTGGTTCGACGACTCGGGCCCGTGTTCTTCGGTTGGTGGGCGAACTGCAAGGATTGCGGCAGGGGGATGCTTCGATCCCGGATTATCTTGGGCGTGCTCAGGTGCTTATTGAGGATTTGACACTTGCCGGCCGTCCGGTGACACTAGAAGATCAGAATATGTATATATTCCGGGGCTTGCGGTCCGAATATCGCCCTTTGGTGGCGTCGCTGACGAGGGGTGCTCCGGTGTCTTTACCCGAGTTATCCGATTTTCTTGTTTCGCAGGCCTTTATATGTGCTGATGATGGTGGTGACGTTGCTGCTGCTCCGGTCGCCATGGCGGCTCAGCGAGGTGGAGGTCGCTCGGGCAGGCAGCAGCGTGGCGGCGGCAATCGAGGCCGAGGTCGTGGCAAGGGCCGAGGCCGCGGTCGAGGTGGCGTCGGGGCTGTCCAGTGCCAGATCTGCTCCGGCGAAGGCCACTCGGCCGCTTCGTGCTATCGTCGTTATGATGGCGCTCCGGGGCCGCGGGCACATGTTGCATATTCTGTTGATGATTCGGCTTCGGTTAATCCTCAGCAGTGGTTTCCTGACACTGGTGCGTCGAATCATGCCACTCCGGATCCGTCTTTAATGTCCTCGGCAGTTCCTTATAATGGTCCGGATCATCTTCGTGTTGGTGACGGTAAGTGTTTACCTATTGTTAGTACTGGTTCATCTTCGTTAGCCGCATCTAAAACACTGTTTCGATTGTCTGATGTTCTTCATGTTCCTGGGCTTTCTGCGTCTTTATTGTCTGGGATGCAACCGAGAATGAGGATTATCATTATCCAAAACTCGAGTCGGCATCTTATTGATGAGATAGACCGCAGTCTCAAAGGCATAATCCCAATATCGTTAGCGCTTATGAATGTGAATGAACATGTTCGCAAACATCAGCAAACATGTTCGTGAACGTTAACGAACACTAATAAACACTTAACAAACAAATACGAACAGAATTTTTAAAACCTTAACAAACAAATACGAACAAAAATGCTTCAAAAATCTTAACAAACGAACACGAACGATCTCTGTTAGTTAGTTCATGTTCGATTCATTAACCGCCCAATTAACTTAAAAGGACTAATGGGTAAATAAGTATTCAAACTTGTCACTAATTCCAAGCACTCTGATGTGAGCTAGCGAATCTAACTATGTGAGACACACGCCTCGTTTTTAGTTCATACATCACTGTTGGTGCAATTTGGAAATTAAATTTTTCCAACATGAATATTTATTTATTTATTTATGTATTAGCAAATAAAATGTGTATGTGTGTGTATTTATGAATCAAATAAAATTTAGTGCTCAAGAGAATGATCAACAACTTTAAAGCAAAGGAAAATGTAATAGTATTTTGATAAATATCGGTCTTAAATTAAATTTTAAAGTGCACCGAATAAAATTGCAAAGTGCATCCAATGATTTGTGAACGTGCAATGCACTTTTACTTATCACCTGGTGAACTTTTAGAGTTATAGATGTTGAGTACACATCTACATATCACCATATGCATTTTGTAATTTTTATTCCGTGCATTTTGTAATTGTGCATGATGCACTTTAGAAGTTAAGATATGTATGAAATTGTCACATTGTTTTTCTATATTCCTATTGGTTCAAAGTTGTTGATCCAGAGTCATATCATTTTTCCAAAGTCATATCATTTTATAGGCTAAAACAAGGACTCTTAATATGTGAAGTTAACACATATAAAATATGAATTCTTCACCGATTACACACACACACAACGTTCTGAAGACTGTGTTGGTTAATTAAAAAGAATTAAAGGATAACTTGAAGTCATGAGTTTGAATTTTCGTCAACATATACAAATATTTTAAAACCTTATTTAAAAAATTTAAAAAAAAAATAGACTAACCTTGGACTATTTCCCCTTCAAGCATTGAGATCCTATATGAAATTTAATTATAAACTTATTCAATATTTTTAATAATAGTCAAGTTGAAACAATATTTAATATCAACTTTAAAGTTCATGAATTTGATTCTTTATTTATGTATTTTTAAAAAATTATTATACGGACTCCCTTCTAGTATTGGGCCCGGGGCATGGCGCTCAGCTTGCCCATCCGTCCTTAGGGTCGGGCATGCGTTGATCTTCCCATATCGATGATTAGGACGAGTTTCTCACTTGCTCGTACACACATTCTCTCAAATGGTGTCTAATTATATTCATAGGTAAATATTTGTGGCCAAACTAGCTCACTTGTGAAGTAGGCCCAGCTTGGTCATCGACTCATTAATCGTTATACTATAAATTATAGTTCACGAATCACTAACATAAAACTCATTTTTAGTATACCAAATATACTTTCTCAACCTAATGAAACACATGAGTCAACAACGCCTTCACTAAGACTCGATCTCATGACTTCTCAAATAGAAGAGGTCACTACGTGTCATTTGAGCACAAAGTGCTTGACATCTAAAATAAATATTTAGTATACTAAAAATAAACATTTATCAGTGATCCACAATATAATGTCTAGACTCAGCCTATGAGGTAGATGCCCATTCCAAGAAGCATCAACTTGACTCATGAATTGTTAATTACATACAACCATACTAGTGAATTGGACCATTAATGCCGTGTCACCAAGATGGACAGACAAAGGGATGTCTTCTAGCTCATGTAGTGTCAACTTGCATTCTAAAAACTTTCATGTACATTTAACTCGGTTCATTCTCACTTTGTAATCCATTCATTGTACTCAATTTTTTTTTTTTTTTTTTGAATACTACTGATTTACCTGTGACCTCTCATTTGAGAGAGTTACAGAGATGCTATTGAGTTAGAAACTACTTAGCTAAAAGCCCCTTCCTATTACTGCTTATTTTAACTTAGCTCAATCCATCATATATCATACTCAACTCAATTGTCAGTGTAATGACGATATCATCCTTTTTGATAACCATAATATATTCACATTGGATTCTCATCATTGGGCTCATAAATGAAAAGTTTTTTAATGCCATCAACTACTTGGGCTTCGATGTCAATTAATGTGGCCCATGCATAAATGAATTCTGGCCATTTATATCCTGCACCACGGTGCGCATTGCATTGTGCGCCCAAATGCAAAACGACGTCATTTTAATTTTTTTTTTTTTAAATTTCGCTACCCAGTGTTTAGAAGTTAATTTTCCTTTAAAAAAAACTAATGTTAAAAAATGTACATAATATTATACTAGAATACACATAATTGTATACATGAATTTACATAATTATATAACAAAATACACATAATCTTTTTTAAAAGATAATACACATAATCTAACATAATACATAATAAACATAAACTTTTAACATAATACACATCAACTCTAAACATAATACACAAAAATTTCCTGATTCGGATGTACATAATTGTATAAAAAAAAAGTACATAATTGTATAAAAAATGTACATAATAAAAAATATACATAATTGTATAAACAAATATACATAATCATGTCAAATTTCTACCGCGCCTCCCAAAACGATGTCGTTTTGGGAGGCGCGGGGCGCACAGTGCACTGTGCGCCGTGGTGCAGGGTATAACGATTGATGAATTCTGCTTCGAATTTATTTCATTGCTCCAGTACGTTATGCTGTGAGCACATACCTACCTTGCAAGGTGGGCACGGTTCCATATTCATAATTTTTATACTGTAGATTCATAATTTTTATACTGTAAATTTATAATTTCTATACTGTAGATTCATAAAATTTAGAGAAAAGGTTCAAATAGGCCCCTAAACTTTACCCAAAAGGTCAATTAGGCCCTTAAACTTTACAAAAGTGCAATTAAACCCTCAAACATGTCAAATTGAGTCAATGAAGCCCAAAAATTGATAAATGACCTGTTATTACAGGACATTTCAATTCCCGCAACGAATTCCGGCCACTGGCCACAAAATCCGACCGTCCGGCCGTTTATCCGGTGGAAATTTCCTCGTGAGAAATGCGACTCGTCTGCCTCTTTTTGCTTCGCCTCTTCACCCCCAAATACAGGAGATACAAGAATAGGCTCATAACAATCCCGACATTCGCACCAAAAATGCTCCCAGCAGTCTACGATGTTAGTTTTCGACTACTGCATACATTACTGGTCTCATAGAATTGAAGATTTTTTGTCTTAATGTTGTAATGCTACTTGTTAGTTAGTTGTTTCATCTGCTTTATTTGCAGTGTTTAATGAAAAACATCTAAGGTCTTTCAAGTTAGAGGAGAGTGAATCAGTTAGCAGGTAAATACCAAAAAATTTTGTGGGTACGGTGTTAGTTACTTCTTGATCGACAAAAATACTAAAATAGAATGCATATATGCCGCAGGACATCATTTGAAAGAGCTGCTACGAGAGGCATTCCCCCCAGGAGGATATGATGCTTAGGGGGGAGACGGCGGAAGGAGATAGCGATATGTCATTTGTGAGCTCCAACAGCAGGCCAAGCGGTGATCAGATGTCGTCTTTTCTCAATGATATGGTGGAATTTGGAAAAACTCCACGCCTATCATCAAGCTCAGATGGTAGCTTTGGCTCTGGGCGTTTGGGAAAAGATAATAACAAACTCCTTCCACGGGAGAAGACGACCGTACGGCTGGATTTTGTCGTCGATGGTCGGAATTCTTTGTCCAAATTAAAATGACATGTAATAACAGGTCATTTATCAATTTTTGGGCTTTATTTACCCAATTTGACATGTTTGAGAGTTTAATTGCACTTTTGTAAAGTTTAAGGGTCTAATTGACCTTTGGAGTAAAGTTTAGGGGCCTATTTGACCCTTTTCTCTAAAATTTATACTTTAAATTCATAATTTCTAAACTGTAGATTCATAATTTAAATACAATAGATTCATAATTTCTATACAGTAGATTCATAATTTTTATACTGCAAATTCATAATTTCTGTACTGTAAATTCATAATTTATAAACTGTACAGTTATCAATTATGAACATATAGTTATCCGATTTGTGAAAACAGAGTTCAACAATTGAAATCTAAAGTATAAATTTTATGAATCTACAGTATAGAAATTATGGATCTACCGTATAGAAATTATGAATGTATAGTATAAAAATTATAGATATGAAACCGTGCCCACATTGCAAGGTGGGCACATGTTCACAGCATAATTTACCGTTTACATTTTAAAAATCTCTATTACTCTGTATTTTTTTATACAATATTCAAATACTGCAAGATAAGAGGGAGTGATTTATTGGCATTCTTGGTTTGAACATGTTAACTATAGAAAACTCATGCTGGTTTAATTTCTTGTGATTATCTGCCGGCTAGGATCATAAGACAGAATTTACCCAATGCACATTCTTGAATAGTGATTGCGGATTTTTCTTACCATTAAAAAAATAATCGATGTTTCCTTGTTTTATATATATTTTTTTTTTGAAAATTTCCTTGTTTTATTTTGTTTGGTGATTTTTGTACTAACTTGGAAGAAAGAGAATATGCTCAATGAGTGCACGCGCAAATTGGGCACTTTAGAGTTTATTTTTTATTTTTATTTTTTATTTTGTAGTTTTAATTAGTTATTTTTTTTGGGTCTCCTATTTTTAATTTATTTTTAATTTATATTTAATTTAAAAAATATTTTATGCGTGTCGGTCTTTAGTGCACATGAATGATGAATCCAATGGAAGAGAAATGCTTGAAGGAAGGTGCTATTCACTATTCATTAAAGATGGCGACCGATTATTCTCAGCTTCGTTGGTAAATTACAATTTGACCCCTCATATTGTGTCATTCTATCAATTTTGACTACGATAAATCATTTATTAAAAAAAAAAAAAAAAAGGAAAAAGTGTCAAATTGGCCTCCTAAGTCAAGTGGATAGTGCAATTGAGTCCCCTAAGTGAAAAAGCTTCATTCAATCCCCTAAACCGGTAAAATTGTTCAATTAAGTTCAATTTGACTTGTCTATCAGGTTAAATTAATGCAGTGTTGACACATGTCCTGTTTTTAAAAATATTTTTTATTATATATATATATTTACTATTTGGCCCATTTTCCTTGTAAACTGTCTTTCCCGTGATTTAATAGATTAAATTTTTGAGTTAATACCCAAAATCGTCCTCGACTATAGTGGTTTTTCTCAATTTCGTCCTAAACGACTTTGGTGACCTAATATCGTCCCAGACTTTTGTATTTCGCTCAATTTAGTCCCATACTTTTATATTTTTGCTCAATTTAGTCCCTCATTTGTTATTTTGTCCATTTGGTGTTAAATAAATAGACAATTCCGTAATTTTAATATTGGCATCTCTTTACTCATAGACATATGAACTGCGAAATTTTTTTTTTTTTACGAATTACTCCCAGAATTACTCCTAAAACTGCGAATATAAAATTTGATTTGCATGTCCGGGAGTAATTCTGGGTGTAATTCGTACAAGAAAGATGAATTTCGCACTTCACAAGTTGAAAGTAAAGAGAGATCAATATTGACATTACTGAATTGTCCCTTTATTTAACACAAATTTGACGGAATAACAAATGGAGGACTAAATTGAGCGAAACACAAAAGTCTGGGACGATATTAGGTCACCAAAGTCGTTTAGGACGAAATTGAGAAAAACACTATAGTCGAGGACGATTTTGGGTATTAACTCTTAAATTTTTACTCTAAAAAACTGCAGAACTAGCATACTAATTAGTAATTAGTATCTTAAAATAATTTAAAGTTGTAAAATTTTATTTGTTTCAAATTAGAAAAATTACTTTTACCACTTTTTTGGGGCAATTACTCTTACCACTTACAGGGCGTTTGGTTGGAAAGGGGGAATTACGTGGGAAAGAAATTGCAATTACATGGGAGATGAATTACTGGGAATAAAGTGGGAATTTAAATTCCAGTGTTTGGTTTACAGGAATAGAGTTATTGGGAATTTCAATTCCAATGTTTGGTATACATGGGAATTGAAAGGGAATAAGTAGTATAAAGTCCAAAATGCCAATTTGTTGTTGTTGTATTAATTTTAGGTTAAAAAAAGGGAGGGATAATTTTGTCTCATCACTAGCTTTTTTTCTTCCTAAAATCCCAGGAATTAAAAATACCAGGGGGGACATAGGATTTTAATTCCATGAAATGGAGGAATTGCAATTCCTTCCAACCAAACTAAGGAATTTTATGGCCTTTGGAATTAAGTGGGTTAGTAGTTAGTAGTTGCAATTTGTAAACTTATTCTTATTATTGTTATTACTGTTACAAAATATATTGATTATGGACATTATGTCCCTTTACTGAGATTGATTAGTCATTATGTAGTGATTTGTAACCTACATCACTTTGTACTATAAAGGCTTGTTTCTTCATAATGCAATGACTAACTCTTTCTGGTGTCTTCATACTCTCTCTACCTCCATAATTTGTATTGTCCCTGCAAATCCACCGGCTAGGAGCTAACGGGCCAACGGGCATCAAACATTTTAACACGTTATCGGCACACTCAATCCCGGTGAACGAAATGGCTATTCTCGCAAAAAGATAATTTTCTGAACTCGCCATCGATGGAAGCAATTTCCTCACTTGGGCGCTTGATGTTGAGATATATCTCCAATCTACAGAACTGCTGGACACCATTGAAGAGATATCTACGAGCACTGCAGCCCAGAAGGCAAAAGCGCTCATTTTCCTCCGCCACCATCTTAACCACAACCTCAAGAATGAATACTTAACAGAAAAAGACCCCTATGTCCTCTGGAAATCTCTTAAGGCACGCTTTGACCAACAGACGTCATTAGTCCACCCCCAGGCCCAACATGATTGGCTTAACCTCCGATTTTCAAGACTTAAGTCTGTGACTGAATACAACTCTGCCCTACACAAAATTGTGTCACAATTGAAGCTCTGTAAGCAAAAAATTACGGACGAGGATTTGATTGAAAAAACTCTATCCACGTTCCATCCAAATGACCTTGTGTTCCAGAAGCAGTACAGGAATACAAAGTATGATACGCATCCAGAGCTCATTACGGCTTTACTGGTGGCTGAAAAGCATAGCCAGTTATTGATGCATAATCACAATGCGCGTCCAACTGGCACTGCACCTGTGCCTGAAGCACACACTGTTGCCCAGCAGAGCAACAATCGGCGGGGTCGAGGCCGGGGAAGGGGGAAAGGTCGTGGCAGGGGCCCAAAGCGATGTGGCAGAGGGGGAGCTAGCGGTGTGACTCCCATCCCCAGAACAAGCAAACTCAAAGAAATAGACCAAACAAGTCACAACAGAACTCCGGTCAGTCGCAGTCATGTTATAAATGTGGTTGCAAAGGACATTGGTCTAGGACATGCAGGACTCCTAAGCATCTGGTCGAGGCTTACCAAAAGATACTCCAGCAGGAAGGAGGACAAAAGAAGAACGATTCTAGGCAATCATCTTTGCCTGAAGCAAATGCCCTCATCTTAGGGAATGATGACCTGCTAGGCGATGAACTAGCTGATTATGGAGATCAGGAGTGATACTCCTATTTTTTTTCTCTCTTTTTCCCTTATGGACATCCATTTTACTTCATGCCTGTGTGCATGTTTATATTTGAACTCTTTTGTCCTATATGAATAATGGATCCTTTATTTTTGAACACTTTTGTTCTATTTGAATAAATATAATGGATCCTTCTTACACATTATCTTGATACCCATTCCTTTTCTTTGGAGATATGGGGGATGAATCAACCCTATGCTTGGTTGATTGTGCGACTACGCACACTATTCTGACAGACCAGAGATTTTTCCAAACGTTCAAGGAACACAAAGGCAACCTTTCAACCATAGTGAATGATGACATTCCTATTGTGGGCTCCGGCAGAGCTTCACTTATTCTTCCTAACGGAACAAAGTTGATAATTGATTCAGCCCTCCTATATCCTCAATCAAAAAGAACTTTGCTCAGTTTTAGGAATATTCGGTCCAACTGTTTCCACGTAGAAACTAAAACTAAAAACAATACCGAATTCCTTGTTTTGACCAAAACGGTCAATAACCAGAAAAAGGAAATTGAAGAACTTCCTTCCTTTTCTTCAGGCCTGTATTATTCCTATATCAGGCCCTAGCACTCCTGTGTTGCACTCGCAGTGAAATTTAAAGATACACATCCTTTCAGTCTATGGCATAACCGCTTAGGTCACCTTGGGCAAAAAATGATAGGCCGGATTATTTCAAATTCAACTGGACATAACCTTCTTAAGACAAACATTCTTTCTACAAAAGATTACACATGTGTTCCATGTGCACAGGGAAAAATTATTGTTCGTCCATCGCGTCCTAAGATTGATTTTGAGTCACATGTCTTCCTGCAGAGGCTACAGGGTGATATTTGTGGACCAATTAATCCTTCATCCGGACCATTTCGATATTTTATGGTCCTTATTGATGCTTCCACCCAATGGACACATGTGTGCTTGTTGTCCACTCGAAATATGACATTCGCAAAATTCATGAGCCAAATCATTAGGTTGAATGCCCAATTTCCCGATTATCCTATTAAGAACATAAGAATGGATAATGCTGGTGAATTCACTTCGTCAGCTTTTGACGATTATTGTATGTCCATGGGAATTAAGGTGGAACATCTTGTACCGTACGTCCACACCCAGAATGGTTTAGCTGAATCTCTTATCAAAAGAATTAAACTAATAGCTAGACCATTACTGCAACGGTCCAGTCTACCAGTAAATTGTTGGGGACACGCAGTGTTGCATGCTGCAAATCTAATTCAACTCCGGCCAACTGCATATCACGATTATTCCCCTCTACAACTTGTATGTGGTAATGAGCCAGACATTTCTCATTTGCGTGTCTTTGGCTGTGCGGTTTACGTACCTATACCACCTCCGCATTGTTCTTCAATGGGCCCGCAACGTCGATTAGGTATTTATGTTGGGTATGAATCCCCTTCTATCATTAAATACCTCAAGCCTATGACAGCAGATCAGTTTACTGCACGGTTTGCTGACTGCATTTTTTATGAAGATCATTTCCCGGCATTAGGGGGAGAGAAAAACCCAGCTTTGAAAAAATGCCACGAAATTTCATGGGATGAAAAAGATCTTCAATATCTTGACCCACGTACTAGTCAAACTGAACTTGAAGTTCAGAAAATAATAAATTTGCAAAAACTAGCAAATAATCTGCCAGATGCGTTTACTGATTATAAAAGAGTAACTAGGTCCTATATTCCTGCAGAAAATGCTCCATCAAGGATAATTGTCCCCAAAGGACCAAATACTAACACTGACACTATCTGACGCCAGAAGCGTGGAAGACCAGTTGGTGCAAAAGATGTAAATCCGCGGAAATTTAAAAATAATAAACAATCACAGTTACTCCAAAATCGTCCTGAAGACGAAATACCCAGTGTAAATGCACGTGCTACAAATAAATCTAACACTGGGAATACAGAACACCTTCACCAAGATATGATAGCAAATGAGAAAGACTTGGTTGAAGTAAATATAGAATCTGCCATAACCTTTTTTGAAACAGGAGAAAATCTTAATAGAAGTATAACAGTCGTCGACGACCAATTCGCCTCTACAATTGCTCTTCACATTTCTTTCAATAATATGGATCCAGAACCAAAAACTATAGTGGAGTGCCGGAAGCGCTCCGATTGGTTGAAATGGAAAGAAGCAATTGAGGCTGAGCTCAACTCGCTAAATAAAAAAAAAAAAAGTGTTTAGCCCTCCTGTACTTACCCCTAAAGGCTTGATCCCAGTTAGATCCAAATTGGTATTTGTACGAAGAGGAATGAACAAAATGAGGTGGTCAGATACAAAGCGAGACTGGTAGCTCAAGGGTTCTCACAGAGACCCGGAATAGATTTTGAACAAACTTACTCTCCTGTCTTAGATGGCACATCGTTCCGTTATCTAATATCGATGGCAGTAAAAATGAATTTAGAAATGCAGTTAATGGATGTTGTGACCGCATATTTATATGGGTCACTAGACGCTGATATATATATGAAAGTACCCGAGGGCATCCAAAATCCTTTATGTAAAGGAAATACAAATAAAAATATGTTCAGCGTAAAACTACAAAAGTCATTGTACGGCTTAAAACAATCAGGAAGAATGTGGTATTGTCGATTGAGTGAATTCCTCTTAAAACAAGGATATGAAAATAAAGATATTAGTCCTTGCATCTTTACAAAGAAATCAACTGATGGTTTTTGTATTATATCAATCTATGTAGATGATATAAACATCATAGGGACAAGCAAGGATGTTAAGAGGGCATGCTTGTGCTTAAAGGAGGAATTCAAAATGAAAGACTTGGGAAAAACCAACTTCTGTCTCGGCCTGCAGATTGAGCACCTCCCTGAAGTGATATTCATACACCAATCCAAATACACAGAAAAGTTATTGGAGAAATTCTACATGGATAAGTCCCATCCACTTAGTACTCCAATGGTAGTCCGATCACTTGAAGTTGATAAGGACCCGTACAGACCTAAAGAAGATAATGAGGATATTCTGGGACCAGAAGTTCCTTACTTAAGTGCCATTGGAGCACTTCTATATCTTGCCAACTTCACTAGACCTGATATTGCATTTTCAGTAAACATGCTAGCTCGTTTTAGTGCTGCTCCAACCAGAAGGCATTGGAATGACATAAAACATATCCTCAGATATTTACAAGGTACAAAAGATCTTGAGCTTCTATTTAAAAGAGACCAAGACACCACATTAGTGGGATATGCGGATGCTGGTTTTATGTCTGATCCGCATAATGCTAGATCTCAGACTGGGTATGTGTTTCTTTCAGGAGGTACTGCTATCTCATGGAAATCAGTTAAACAAACATTAGTAGCTACCTCCTCAAACCACTCTGAGATTATTGCCTTATATGAGACCTCCAAAGAATGTGTATGGTTGAGGTCATTAATACACAATATTCAAGACTCATGTGGAATAATGAATAATGGAACGATCCCCACTGTCCTGTATGAGGACAATGCTGCATGTGTTACACAAATGAGTAATGGATATGTTAAAGGTAATCTCACCAAACATATTGCACCAAAATTCTTTTATCCACATGAACTCCAGAAGAGTGGTGAAATACGAGTCCAAAAGATCCAATCAAGTGAAAATCTGGCAGATTTATTCACTAAGTCCTTACCTACATCTACTTTTGAAAAGTATGTATATAAAATTGGTATGCGTAGATTAGGAAGGCTGTTGTCTTCAGGGGGAGCAACAACACTTTAATTATAATGAAATTATTAGTCCAGAAGATTAATTCATTCACTTTGATCCAGAAGATCAAGATATATTATTATGATTTATACCTAAACCCAGAAGGTTTACAGTTGCACTCTTTTTCCCTTACTGAGTTTTTTTCCCACAGGGTTTTCTCAGTGTAAGGTTTTTAATGAGGCAACCGAAGCAACACATGCATTACCCATATGTCGTGTACTCTTTTCTCACTTAGGTTTTTCCCACCGGATTTTTCTAGTGAGTTTTTAACGAGGCATGAATATGGTTAAATAATGTCCAAGGGGGAATGTTACAAAATATATTGATTATGGACATTATGTCCCTTTATTGAGATTGATTAGTCATTATGTAGTGATTTGTAACCTACATCACTTTGTACTATAAAGGCTTGTTTCTTCATAATGTAATGACTAACTCTTTTTGATGTCTTCATACTCTCTCTACCTCCATAGTGTATTTACATTTGTATTGTCCCTGCAAATCCACCGGCTAGGAGCTAACGGGCCAACGGGCATCAAACATTTTAACAATTACATTATTAATTTCTTCATTTTATTGTAATAATTCTTAATTTAAATTATTGAAAGTAAATATGTAAACTTGTAAAGCTAATTTTAAAAAGAAAGCATCACTTAAATGAGTCGATATATAAATTTTAATATTTTTTCTATTTATTTTTATTTTTAGAGCTATGTACCACGTAAAAATTTAAATTTTATTTTTCGACGGGGCCACGCCCAATCGTTATGCTGTGAGCATGTGCCCACCTTGCAAGGTGGTCACGGTTCCATATTCATAATTTTTATACTGTAGATCCATAATTTCTATATTGTAGATTCATAAAATTTATACTTTAGATTCATAATTTCTAAACCATAGATTCATAATTTAAATACAATAGATACATAATTTTTATACAGTAGATTCATAATTTCTATACTGCAGATTCATAATATCTGTACTGTAGATTCATAATTTTTGTACTGTAAATTCATAATTTCTAAACTCTATAGTTATCAAATTATGAACATATAGTTCTCTGATTTATGAAAATAGAGTTCAACAATTGGAATCTAAAGTATAAATTTTATGAATCTATAATATAGAAATTATGAATCTACAGTATAGAAATTATGAATTTACAGTATAGAAATTATGGATATGGAACCGTGCCAACCTTGCAAGGTGGGCACATGTTCACAACATAATTTGCCGGGGCACGCCTGATTCGAAGTTTAATTGGACCGATAGATCCGGTTTGATACAAAAAATAAATAAGCCCAGGCTAGACTGGGCTGGCCCAATCCCGCTCGTTTGACACCTCTACCCCAAATAACTTTTTCATTTTTAGCTTATTGTCATCAATAAGCTAATATCAGAAAGTTGTTACCGAACACTTATTAACCAAGTACCTTCAATATCTAAAACCTAATAAGATTGACTGAATGTTATACTCTTTATTTATGTCCATTTTTTTGTTACTTGTTTTAATAAGTTATGTTATGAGAGTTGTACTATACAATTTTTTGGTAAAAAAAAATATCCATACAATGCACATGCATCCACCATATATTTTCTTACCTTCTTAATAGTAATAATATATAGACATCATATATTGAAGTACTATATTTATTTATTTATGTATATATTGTAAAAGTAGAGTATAAAATTTATCAAAATTGTTTACATTATTATTAAACAAAATATAAATTCTTTCTCTTTTTTTTTTTTTTTTTTCTCTCTCTCGCTCTATAATTTTAAATATGATGGTTAAAATTTACTACCTCAAGAAATTTTTAATTATTTTTATTTATCAATGCCAAACATCTTGTGCTCAGATGGCATGTAGTGACATCTCCCATGTGGGAGGTCATGAGATTGAGCCTTAGTGGAGGCGTTGTTGACTCTGTGTCCTTAGAAAGTATGTTTGAATAGATATTGCAATGTAATAAAGTCAGTAGCATTCAATTTTTTTTATTTATCAATATTAGACATGAATTCTCGCAATTTTTTTTTATTTATCAATATTAGACATGAATTCTCGCGCATAGCACGTACAGAATGCTAGTAAATAATTAGTACGGAGTATAAATATTAATAGAAATCAATGAAAACAATGCTGGTCAAAGATAATTATACTAATAAAAAAATGTTAATTCGTACCTTGAAATTGATAGTCCGTATATTTATAATAAATCATGGTTTTTTTTTTTCTTTTTTTGGTGACAACCAATATGAGTTAATGAAAATTCATAAGGGTATTAAATAGAGTTTTAATCATTTTTTTAAACTCTTTAAAATAAAAAAATGTTTGTAAAAGTCTATATATGTTTGTGATATAAGATTTTTATAAATTCTTATAAAGTCTATAAAAGTCTAAAAAGATTATGTAAAAACAAATTAAAATTTATTAGAATCTCCCATTTTCACCATTTACAAAAATCACGGTCTTTTACATCTCCCTTAGTCGGTAAGGTTGTCAAAGGTTTCCAACCATTAAATACATATACAAATTTTAACCATGGTTTTACTCTTCTCCTTCATCTGAGCTATTTTCCTTCGTTCCCTACCTTCTCTAAAGGCGTTTGGTACTTTCCCATTAATTAAATTTTCAGGAAAATGTTTCTAAAGAATATATTTGATGGAAATAACTTTACTGGAAAAATTAAATAGCATGTTTTGTGTTACCCTAGAAACATAACAATTAAACTACCTAGAAAAATAATTAACACATTTGATTCGTTGAAACTTTTACAGGAAAATTTTTAAAATCTCTAATATATTTTTGTTATATATGAGATTTTTAACATGGCAGTACGTATGACACCAAAAAAAAAAAAGATAAATATATAATTAAATAAAGTTGCAGATTCTCAGTAGGCCAGGAAAAAGAATCTCACATCTCTTAGGTAAGATTTACTTCCCTTGATATCATGTAATGTGATTTCCATTGACATAAACTTTTTTAAGTCAAAGATTACACCAAACGTGAAAATAATAAATTTTCAAAAATGTTCAAACTTTCCTAGCTACTTAATGCCCTCAAATTATCTTCTCTTTCCCTTCATTTTTTTCCCCTTCCAAGTCTCATATCCTCTTTCATCTGGTCTTTCTTCGCTATATAGGAGAAGTAAACATTTCAAAAGTTGGAATGACAATAAAAAAATTTAAATAACCCAAAAAAGTGGTTAGAATTTGGTGGTTGAAAATTAAATATTTTTAAGGTAATGAATTTTTCTGACCACCTTAACATTGTAGTTAGAAAAGTTGAAAATTTTGCTAGTTTTCATCTATTTTAGTTGGTAAAAAGAAATTGGTAATTATTGACGAATTTTCAGTGATGTATTAATTTTAACAAATGAAATTCTCTTGTTAGCTATTACTCCGTACTAATCTAAATAAAAATAAAAACATAATAAGTGTGAATGAAAGTTATACCCCAAATTTATGTCTGTTTTTTCCATTATGTTCTTTTTTGTACATTATGCAATAAAGGTTGTACATTAAAATATTTTGGACAAGCATACCCCTACCGTTATAACTTCCGTTATCTTTTCCACTATTGTTACCATGCACATGCATCCACCACATATTTTCTTATCTTCTTCATTAATAATAATATATACACATTAAATATTTGAGTTATATGTTAATTATTACATAAATATAAATATCAAATTTATAAAAATGATTTACATTATTATTATTATTATTTAGAATAATTTAAATATCTAAACTCTAAATAAATTTAAAATTTTAATATAATGTATTAATATTGGGCACCTATTTTTTGCGCATCGCGCATAAAAATATTAGTATAGTAATATATATGCTACGAAGTACTTCTTAACGAAAATGGATTAATGAGTTATTATTTTCATTTTTTTTTTCTATAAAAAACAAAGAGAAACTATTATGATAAGTAACGTATTTTTTTAATACTAAAATCACTACTTAAATGTTTATTTCTTGATGTTGTATTTTTATGTCTTAATATTTTTTTCTTTTAAATTTTTTTAGTCCTACTGACTCTGTTATAATCTTTTTTAAAAAAAATTAATTCAATATTTAATTAATAATAGATAAATCATTCCACTTAACTACACCTTCCAGATTTATGATTGACTTTATCATGAGTTCACATAAGAATTAAATACAAAAAATTAACAATATTGATATTTTTTAAATTCGCATAGACTCAACTCACTTGTTTAGTAGGCAGTATTTGAATGCACAAACATTTAACCTGGTATATGAGCCATTGAGTCAACGTCCATTATAATGATGGTAATTTTGATGTATTTTCATAAAATCAGGGCATCTTTGTGAATTTATGGTAAATTGGAAACTTCCTCGGTTTGTGTGTAACTTAGCTTGCTTAGAGGCAGAAAAAGAAAGCTCTTCTGAGACTGAGAGTGCCATTCTAATTCTAATTTTCTTTATTTTGATGTTTGGCGCACAGCTTTGAACTCTGAACTCCCAAAGTTGAAGCCTTTTTTAGGCCATTGAGATGGAAAAGTTTCATCTTCTGATTGCTTCTGTGGTTCTTTGTTTCTTGGTCTTTCATGGAAGAACTGGGAATGCCATTGCTTTAAGAGCCCAAGATGGATCAGAAGCTTGGGGATATGTTGAAGTCAGACCAAGTAAAAATGCCTTCTTCTCCCCTTTTTGGATGAAATTTTATGCTGAAATCTTTATTTTTGACATTTTTTTGTATGCTGATGTTGGGATTTATGTATGGACACAGAAGCTCATATGTTCTGGTGGTATTACAGAAGCCCATCCAGAGCTGAAGATCCAAACCAGCCATGGCCAATTATTCTCTGGTTGCAGGGTGGACCTGTAAGTTCTGTCCTTAATAGCATCCAACTTCTGGGAAATTAAACTAAGAGCCTTAGACTAATGTGATTGTTGGATTGAATGTTAGCCAGTATATAAGTTTTGTCTCTATAATTTATCTACATTTGTATTACATTTATAGGATATTCTCTTTTTTTGGGTGACAAGGGAACTGCAACCCCTCTACTCGAGGGTGTGGATTGGGTAAACCCCGTCTTGTGGCCCTAGTCATTAGAGGACCACAAATCAGTTTAGGTTACTCATAGTTGACTCGCTCAAACCATGAAGGCCAATAGGCCGCTCCCACTGAGAGTCGAACTTGGAGCCTTGTTGTTTCTAAACCAACAATCTGACCAACTTGGCTTGAGTTGCACCGAGATATTCTCTTTGTGACTGTGTTTTGAGGTGCAAGAATTCAAATGTGAATAGGGGGCTTCAGGAGTTGGAATTGGAAATTTCGAGGAAGTTGGTCCTCTGGATATTAACTTGAAGCCTAGAAATTCAACATGGTTGAACAAAGCTGATCTCCTCTTTGTGGTAAGTGTCTTACATTCATGAAATTCTTGTAGGTAGAATTGGAAACGAACAAGTTTATTTTAATCTCTTTGGTTCGTCTGCATAGTGTTATTTTCCCCTTCTTCGATTCGATATAGGATTGCCCGGTTGGAACTGGATACAGTTATGTGGAGGATACTAAGCAATTTGTAAAGACTGATTGGGAGGCTGCAACTGATTTGACTACATTGTTGATAGAAGTGTTTAATAGTAATGAGAGTTTACAGAAAAGTCCGTTGTACATAGTTGCAGAGTCCTATGGAGGAAAATTCGCAGTTACTCTTGGATTATCCACTCTGGAAGCCATCGAGGCAGGGAAATTGAAGCTCAAACTTGGTGGTAATAAAGAAAATATTTACTTAGTATTTCGAGTTTGTACATGTTATCAATTCGGGAACAATGGATTCCCGCTTTGGAATACTTAGTTAAGTACAAACTTGCCAATAGTTATTATAAGGTTATCCCGTGACATTAATGCATATGGTTTTGTGTTATTATAGGAGTCGCTTTGGGTGATAGTTGGATCTCACCGGAAGATTTTGTGGTATGCAAATTAATTAAATTTTCTTAGGATATTAACATTTTCTTTTTGAGCTATTCTTGATTGCTTAGTATCAATGCTGCAGTTTTCTTGGGGACCTCTTCTGAAAGACG